TTCTCGAAGTCATGTATTGGCAGGACCTTACAGTTTATGCATTTCCAGAAAATGTATGTGTAAATCAAATAGAGGCAGTAAGGGGGGGGAGAGGAGGTCGCACTTCAAAGCGACAGTGCCGCATGGAGCCCGGGGACGGACCCTGGGCTCCACGCAATGCTTCCACTTTTAAATGCTGCATGCAGCCTGAGGCCAGCTGTGGTGTCCTCACGCTGCACCCAGTGTTTCAAATCGCAGCACCACGTGGAGCCTGGGATCAGCTGGAGACTTCCCCACTGACTCCAGGCTCTGTGCGGCACTGCCGCTTTGAAATGCTGCAGGAAGCCTGACTCTTCGCAGTGTTTCAAGACAGCAGCGCTGCATGGAGCCTGGGATCAGCGGGAGAGTCCCCAGCTGACCCCAGGTTCTAAACGGCATCTTCGCCTTTGAAGGGAGAGGTGCCCTATTGATTAATCGAATAGTCGATGAAAAATGTATCAACCATTTGATTAGTCAGTTAGTCGATATTTAACATCCTTATATCAATATGTTTACCATGAAGGGCCAGGAAAGAAAAGATTGATTTTGGGCTCTGTGTGAGAGGATTGTGGAAGGGAGGCAGGTAAACAGTGTTGTTGTTAAGCCAAGTTAGTAAAAAAATGGTAATTTACCAATTGAGAGGTGTAATTAAATTAATACAAGTGAGTCCTGAGATCTGATTGTGTTCCATAGCTGATTACTTCTAACAGTGAATGCTGCAATGGAATCAAAACATTCGGTCAAATTCTGATGTTGCACATCCCAATTTAAATCTGAAGAACTCCACTGATTTCTTAATTTTGTTGTTAACGGAGCAACTGTTTTACCTCAGTGCAACCAAGACTGTCTTCAAATTTAGAGAAATTCTAAAACCTGGGAGTGTTAATAATTTTCCTGCTGGATTTGGATAAAACAGAGCAGGAAGGAGGTTGACATTTGTTTGGTGTAACAATATGTTCTTCCGTGCACAATATGTTTATAGTAGTATGTGCCAAATCCAGAGGTCCTTACTCGATTGCTGTTAAGCCCTCGGTCAGGCAAAATCTCAAGAAGTAAGAACCTCAAGACTAAGACCGCAATTAATGGATTATATGGTAGCAAGAAATATATTTAATGTGCTAGTATTGCATGTTAACATGTAAATAATTTAGTGGAAGGGAGGATAGCCATAGAGTTGCTAGATAAAAGCAAGCATAAGCCAGTGATTTGATCATGTATTGCTAACCAAAACACAGACCTGTAGCATGACAAGTGGAGCTCAAAAGATTTCATTTTCTAATATACAGTGTTGTGAATTCACTGGCTCTTTGGAAATGGATTAGAAATACCAATGTGCTATGTTAATCTATGATAGAAATTAGATGCCTCAGTCCATTTTATATCTACAGTAAGTGCAATGGATTTCACAAACAGCCAGATCTCCAGAGGTACTGAGCGTCCACAATTGAAGTCCAGAGGAGTTACAGGTATTTCAGGGCTGTGAAAATTAAACTCCCGTAGGCAGTTACAGTAACACAGGACATCTGCAAACTGGCCTATCCCCTGATTGTCATGTACCCCTCTACAAAAGGAGTATGTAAAATGCCACTAACAGAAATTCTCCACTCATGCCAGCGTTTCACTCACTTTGCATGTCTGAAAATCAGCACTAGGGGCTAGAGAATCAGGCTTTTAGCATTTGTTGGTTTGATTTATTGGACTAATGTTAGCTAATTAATAATGGCCTGTGAATTTCTTCCTTTATTTTGACATCATGCTAGCAATGACATGTCACTCAATCTCAGGGGACAGGGAACTAATTACTTTCTACTATGGAGCATGTCTAATCCAAATCATACAATAAGGGGCTGTGGAGATTTCACGCTTTTACCCTATGAGCAAACGTGAGCAAAACAAATCAATTCTGGGCGATTTCCTATTCAGACCTTAACATTTCATATATTTAAAACATTTTCTTTTGGAGATCCTTTTTCTTTTAATTTTTGAAGCACAGCAGTGGGGCAATTATTCATGGAGTTAGGTAACTCTCCAAAGGTTGAAATGTGATCCTCCTTATTAACAAGTGGCTAACTGAGGTCTCTGTCATTTCCTGTTATATTGTATTCACTTGGCTGAGAAGATTGCAGTTGGTCCTGCTTTGGGCAGGGGGCTGGACTTGATGACCTTCTGAAGTCTCTTCTAGCCCTAGGATTCTATGATTCAGACTTATTTAGTCTACAGAAAAGAAAAGTGAGGGGGGATTTGATTAACTACCTGAAGGGAGGTTCCAAAGAGGATGGCAAGAGGTGACAGACTGTAGAATGAGGAGCAATGGTCTCAAACTGCAGTGGGGGAGGACTAGATTGGATATTATGAAAAACTGTTTCACTAGGAGGGTGATGAAGCACTGGAATGGGTTAGCGAGGGAGCTGGTGGAATCTCCATCCTGAGAGGTTTTTAAGTCCTGGCTCAACAAAGCCCTGGCTGGGATGATTTAGTTGGGATTGGTCCTGCTTTGGGCAGGGAGGTTGAACTCGATGACCTCCTGATGTCTCTTCCAGCCCTAGGATTCTAGGATTCTAAGATAACTAATTGGGATTTGAAATAACCATGGCTGTTCATAAAGACCCTTGGATAATTCTGCCTGTTTTGATATTGCTGAGACAGTCTGATATTGTGCCAGTTCCTCAATCTTAGTTCTATGGGGTGAGAATTCACAGTTCCAGCACTGCATGCTCCATGCAGATAGCAGCTGTGATTTTATAAAGCTATTGTAGCCGGCTCTGTGTCCCTTGCCTTTGGCATCCAGGGTGTGAGGGGGTATGTGCATGCCCCAGAAGTGGAATAAAGGAGTGTGGTCCTTGACAGCTGCCACAGGCTATTGTCAGAATGAAGTAAAGCAGCCCTGAAGCTGCTTACATCAAAGTTACATCAGGATGTGATTTGGCTTTCAGCTGGTTGAGGGTGGGGTGTGGAACCCCCTCCCCAGCTGTGCCAGCTGTAAGCTCAGCACAGCTCAGGATTGGGCATCATGGGTACATTTTAGTTGCATCTTCCTTTGTAAAGGGAGATAAGGGAGCTCTGGACCTGTTCAGGATCTGGCTTTTTCTCTCATTAACAATCCCCAGCTCTCTTGCATATGGTGGGGATTTTTTTTTCATGAACTTGATGTGGACAATTCCTGTCTTACCAGAGTTTGTGACAAGTCAATGGAAGCAGAGCCAAAATACAGAGGACCTCACTAGTGGTCTTGTTTTCCATTAATTTAATACAGCCGAAGCTTGTTAATCTAGGCTTATCCACCATGGGAATCCAAAAGCTTTCTGTAGATATCAGTTTCATACAACAGACGTGCTCCTGAATCTTTAATCTGAAAGGTTTTATTTCATGTACATTTGAAGAAAGATGACATTTTGCCAAATGATTTGGATTAACTGTTTCTGAGTGTAAGTCGTCAATGCACACAGTAGGAGGGGAGTATATTCTTAGTAGTCAGAGGAGTGGATTAGTAGTCAAGATCCCTCAAGATCTATTCCTGAGGGTGCTGTATATTGGCCTCCTTCTGTGGCTTTGGACAAGCTACTGAAATCCATCTGCTCCGCTCATTCATGGGACAGGCAGGGACATTATTTTACACAGCAGTGGGCCAAAGAGAGAAAATGCAGCAATGCAACCATAATGTAGCTACATAGCAACTGCTAAGAGCTTCACATAAAGAGCTGCACACACAAGGTTTTTTGAGTTCTGCCAAAGCTTGAAGCTATGCTGCATGTTCTGGAGCAGTGTTTCTCAACCAGTGGTATGAGTACCCTTAGGGATACTCAAAAGAAGTCTAGGGAGTACGTCAACACAACTGAAATTTGGAGAAAACCAAATTTTTGTTTTTAAGTTTTACAGCACTTTATTATTTTTGTACTTTTTACACCCAAAAATGTCATCACCCACCCAGCTATGATTAAATTCTTTAAAGAAATGTGTTGCAATGGTAGGAAAAAAGTGTGTGTGTCTGAAAACTGTAGGTACTGGGGGTACTTATATATATAATATTTTTTTAAAGGGGTACTTTATAAAAAAAAGGTTGAGAAACACTGTTCTGGAGCACCATATAATGGCACTATATCTATTAAATATTTACATGATACGGGTTGGATCTCCCTTTTCTGGCAGCCTTGGAACCTGAGTGGTCCCAAAGGAGTGATTTTGCCAGACCAGGGGAAGGCAAGCCTCTGTCTCTTCTGGGGCTTCCTTCCTGGACACTGGCTCAGCCAGTGCGCTGCCCCCAGCTGTTGGCAGAACTCTAATCTCCGCTGCCGCCCTCCTCTGGTCTGTGGGGCTCCCTTCCTGCAGCTGGTGGAGCTCTCTGCCCTTGGCCAGCAGTGGCTCTGCATTCCCAGCTGGCGCTGGCTCCATGTTCCCAGCCACAGGGGCTTCGCTGCTCCCAGATGGTAGTGGATCCATGCCCCCATCTGGCTGTGGCTGTATGTCCCCAGCCAGCACACAGAGGCTCTATGTCTCTGGCCGGTGGCAGTTCCATGTCCCCCGCTAGCAGGGGCTCCACTCTCGGCTGGCGGGTCTCCCCACCCAGCCCTGCTCTGGGTAGGGATGTTAAATGGCATTTAATCAGCTAATTGACTAGTGGATGGAATTTCCATCCACTAGTCAATTAATTGATAAGGGGGGGAAACTAAGCCAGCCCCACCCAGCACCGGCTCCTGCTTCCTCCCTTGCTGCCTCTCCCTGTTCTCCTTTAACATTACTCAATCCTTACATCACTCTGGTAGAAAGGTAAGTGCGGGTATGAGCACGGTTCTGCAAATCTGCAGATACCTGTTCTATATCCACAGAGCATGTTTGTGGATCAGATGCAGAAGCAAATTGTATCATCGCAGGGTTCTAGGCATACACACTTTGCTGGATTGGAACCTGTATCCGAATCTTCAGAACTCCCTTTTGGAAAGCAGTGATCTAATTTAAAGCAATTATCCTCCCTTCTTGATTCACAGGTGTTCCCTTTCCAAAGAACTTCCTTCAGATCTGCAAGAAGATCCTGTGCAGACTGTTCCGGGTATTTGTTCATGTCTACATTCATCACTTTGACCGCATCATCATCATGGGCGCTGAAGCTCACGTCAATACCTGTTACAAGCACTTTTATTACTTTGTAACAGAGCTCAACCTTATAGACCGCAAAGAGCTAGAGCCTTTGGTAAGTGGTGGAGAATCCTCCTTTTCCTTTCCCTGAGTTGAGCCTTTTCCAGACCTGTCACAGTTGATTTCCACTAGGAACGAAAGGTTCATGTTTCAAGTCAGATCATTTAAATAAATGAACACGTGCCTCTGTCAATAGGCCAATTCCCTCTACTGTAGCATTTACAATTGGCAAAGTAGCAAAAATAGTGTGCAGTGTATTCCAGATGGAGAAGTGCAGAGGCGAAAATACAGAGACTTTAAAATAGAAGCTAATTTTTCCCCTGCTCCTTTCAGTACTAAGAAGTGGATTTTTCCCTAATTTTTTTCCAGTGGTTGGCAACAGCATGGTACTTACAGAAATAAATCATCACAGTGTGTGTAAAGCAGCGGTTCCCAACCGCCAGTCCACGGACCGCTGGCTGCCAGGCCACAGCGGCGGCTGGAGTTTGTGGCACCTTAGCTCCAGCAGCCATGGTGGATGAGTCAGTGGCAGGAGGAGGTGGGACAGAAGGCACCTCCCTCCCTTCTTCTTTCTCCCCGCTCCATGAATGGGGCGCAGGGGTGGAGGTCAAAGAGTGTTAGGCACTGGGGAGCAAGGGGCTGGGTTGGAGCTAGGTGGACAGGTAACATTTTATTTGCATAATAGATATGCAAATACAATGTTACTAGTTCACCAAAATTGATGAATGGCTTTCCCAGTTCACAGTATAAAAAAGTATGGGAACCACTGATGTAAAGTGTAGGGAGAGGGGCTGTGCGGAAGATAACCTGTATAATGAACTAGCATTTCCTTTGTAGTAGTTATATAGGTGTTGTATAGGTGCTGCACTTGGATTTATTCACTTTCAGTCAGCGGCTCAGACAATCAATAATGCAGGAAAATCAGACTCTTCCCTTGACTTAGGAGACTTGGCTCTAGATCAGTGTTTCTCAAAGTGGGCCCCAGACCCACTCTGAGAGAGCTGCTAATGGGCTGCTCCAGTTTGTTTACTTACCAGCTCCGCAGTCATGGAGCCTCACAGCTCCCATTGGCTTCAGTTCCCCGTTTGCAGCCAATGGGAGCCGCGGGAAGTGGTGTGGCACAGGCTGCTCCTTAGCTCCAGCAGCTGTGTTGGCTGAGGCAGAAGGACAGGATGTGCCTCCCTCCGTCCTTCCTTTCCCCCTCAGCACCACGGAGGAGTGACCAACAGCCCACTTTCAGAAACAGTGCTCTGGATAGGTCAGTGTTTAACTTATTGTCTCCAAACATTAGATTCCCCCAAAAGGAGTCATTTTCACCATTGCCTGAAGGTTTTAAAAAATATTAGAGAGAAGAGGGAAGAGTCCATTTGGAAAGGGGTTCTCTGTGTAAACGTTAGCACTGGGCCTGTGGGCATGCTTAAAATGGATGGGGCAATTCTATATCTTACCAGTTATTAATGAAGTGTTAGCGCTATTCTGCTTTTTAATGGTTAAATACACATAACAAGCATGTCTGAAATGTGTCTGTGTGTAGAAAGTAGAGACTTACCTCCATGTCTCTCTGTGCATGCTTTCACGTGTGCAAAAAGTAGAACCCCGTGTTGTGTGTAATGCAGATGCCCTTATGTGTTGGGAATGGTTATACGTTTGTTGACTGGGGCAGGAAATGTGGAGTGAGACGAGTATTTCTCCGTAGTTCCCAGAAAGGAACAATCAGTTAAGAAATTCCCCTTTATGGCATTCATTAATCTACAACGTTATGCCAATGGGAAAGCTTAAGCACAGAGGGGATGATTCTCTGTTGCACTGTGGTCCCTTTTCACCACACTGGCAGTGTAAAGGGGCTTTAAAGGTATGAAAACAGGCCCTTGAGGATATCCCTGCAGAAGAGAGGGCTTCCCTATTGGCATAGAGATGCTAAAGCAGCTCCACCTCAGCCCTTGTCTCTGTGCCCAGCATGGGGAACATGTCAGAGGCAGGAGATATGAGACGTAGACCAGAGTGTGTTTAGAGAACATTGCTCCACAAGTAAGAGGTCTATGCTGGCTCCATTGTACTGAGAGAGGAAAGGCTGTTTAAGGCCACTTTCAGTGGTTAACTACCTTATTCCTGAATTCGGACTGAGCAATGGGAAAATTGAGGCCAGAGTGATAAAGGAGTTTGCCCAAGTCCATAGTGAGTCAGTTGCAGAGGGATGAATGTAATCCTGCTGATGATATGTCCATTGTGTGCAAATCCTCTGGCATTCCAGCATTCTGTTCATGGGAATGGAAGTCCTATTTCGAGTTCTGATGGAATTCGGCAGCTTAGAATCATAGAATCATAGAACTGGAAGAGAGCTCAGAAGGTCATCAAGTCCAGCCCCCTACCCTAGGCAGGACCAATTCCAACTAAATCAACCCGGCCAGGGCTTTGTCAAGCCGAGACTTAAACACCTCTAGGGATGGAGACTCCACTACTTCCCTAGGTAACCCATGCCAGTGCTTTACCACCCTCCTAGTGAAATAGTTTTTCCTAATATCCAACCTGGATCTCTCCGACCACAACTTGAGACCATTGCTCCTTGATCTGCCATCTGTCACTACTGAGAACAGCCTCTCTCCATCCTCTTTGGAACGTCCCTTCAGGCAGTTGAAGGCTGCTATCAAATCCCCCCTCACTCTTCGCTTCTGCAGACTAAACAGACCCAAGTGCCTCAGCCTCTCCTCATAAGTCATATGCTCCAGCCCCCTAATCATTTTGGTTGCCCTCCGCTGGACCCTCTCCAATGCGTCCACAT